TGAGGACTGCCACAGTATTCTTCGATGAGGTCTTCCAGAAGCGAATGTGATGTCGAAAGCCTAAGGATCCCTGCAACTTTGCTACAAGAACGTCCCCCTCTGAGCCTCTCAGCTGACTGGTTTGATCCTCAGGTGGTGCGAAACTAGTATTTTGTTAACGGTCTGTCGATACATGAGTCGCATCTTCGAAGGAAAAGGCTATGTGGCTCAAGTTTCCCTAAAAGACGGGCTGATCGCCCACCAGATCTACCTTCTTTCCCTTCCCTCACTCACCCAACAGTCGATTGGATTCATTCCTTACACGTTCTCTACGAACACCCCACAGTCCCTTTTTCCTTCACATTTTACGTTTACTTTTTTTTAGTTGTTTCCCAGCACCGCCCATTAGCTTTTTTTTTTTAATCCAGCTATAATTTATTGCGATTAAGCCGGAAGGTGTCTGGAACACTGAAAGGCTGAAACTTACATTCTAACGACTACTGTTACTTTCTCACGCGGACTGCTGGTTGATTTTCACTTCAACATTTATTCATACATTCATTTGGGGACTTTTTACGTTTAAACCTATCGACTATTTCAAACGACTTGTCTGATTTCCTGGGAAGGAATAAGAATATAGGGTGCCGGCTGGTTTCGTGCAATATATACCCACCCCAGATTACATTCCTTAACTTTATACCCACGAGATATCATATCACGGAAAGAAAGAAAAAAATCTAGATCCAATATATCAACGGAAGTTTATATTTCATCTATAGACACAGTCTCTACGACAACTTTGTTCTAACGATATCGATACCGTCCACTTAATTATCTATTTTTCCCCACAGCAAAAGGGGAAAAACCTCAGACATAATGGCTTATGAACCACCCCAACCACCAATGTCTGCACGCCCTCCATTGACAGGAAACATCTACACAACATACACCGCCAGTCCTTCCGGAAACGGAACGTTCGTCAGTGTCCCCACAACCCCAGTGGTAAACCCCCCGCCAACACCCTACAACCCACAACCGCCCCAAGGCGCTCAATACTTTCAACCTCCGCAACACCCCCACCACCATCAGCGCCAACACTCCCAAACACCCCACCCACACACGCAACTCCCATCCCGGAATTACGAGGACATCAATCTCCAGCCTAGCTCGCCGTACTCGATCCAGAAGGACAACCACATCTTTCTCCTCCAACAAACCTTCCGCACACGCATGGGCATGCGACTCGTCGTGCTCATCGCCTCCATCGGCGTGCTCGCAGGATCCACATACGTCCTCAACACATACAAATCCACAAAGACCGGCAACGGGCTCTGGCGGGACCTCTCCTCCCAAGGCGGCATCGACATGAGTCCCGTGCTGGCCCTCGTGGCCACCGGCGCAGTCGCCCTCACTTCCTCAGCAATCGCAATCATCCTCTCGCTGCTCCCCGCGCTGCGCAAGGCCAAGGGCGGGAAGGCCCAGGAGTGGATCGCCCTCGAGACCACGCTGCTGAGCTTTGCGTGCGCGGTTGCCGCGCTGGCGTTTACATTCTCGCACAAGAGTATGGGCGTGGGGCTGGGGGATGCGGAGAGGGAGATGAGCTTTAGGAGGTATACCTGCGATATGAAGAGGCAGATGTACCAGGGCCAGGGCCGGGAGGCTGTGAACCTCGCGGTGCAGACGGTGAGTAGTAATCTCGTGAGCTCGGGCGTCGGGGACCCGATGAAGGGCGTCGATGCCAGGGCCATTGTGTTGTTTGCGAGCATGTGTGGGCAATATGTAAGTTTGATTATAATTATTATTCCCTTTTTTCTTTTTTCTCTCCACCTCCTCAATCCCTTTTGTTTGAAAAAGTAGTACGTTACTAATATGGACGCCTTTTTTTTTTTTTTTCTTGTTTTAGAACTTATCCTGGATCCTGATCATCTTTATCCTGTTTTTCGAAATCATGATCTTCATTAGCATCGCGCTGGGGCGCAAGTGGAGGAAGGGGCTCGAGAAGATTGAGGAGAGTGAGGTTCGGATGATGGCGGCGGGGAAGTACCAGGGTTAAAGAGAGAGTTCAAAAACCTTTCTCTATAACAATTTTTTTCTTGCTCGCTATAATCTCCTTTTTTTCTCTCTTTTTGATGTTCTTTTAGCCAGTCCTTTCCTTCCTTCCATCTGGATGCACAGGTACTACAATTCCTAGCGCGCTGATATCATGATCATACGTTTCATAGTTTATCTTCTATATAATGCCCCAATCCCCTTTCTCTTTTTCTCTAGATCTTCAACCTCTTCATTTTGTTCGGAGTTTTCTTTTCAATTTATTTTCTTTTTCTTTTTTCTTATCTTTTCTTTTCTGACCACTCGATCTATATAAATTTTGCCGACTTACTCTATATTGTTCTATCAACTATAGCTACCTAGGAGGCCTAGGTAGGTACCTAGGTAGGCCATCGATATCCATGGGGCTGTGGAACTTTTGTTTTTCTTTCATAGATGTAGTATGAAAATATATATACTAGCTCCTACTTTCAAACATTCATTCGAATTCGAAATTTAAATTGAATTGATTTATAAGTTAACTCATATTGATCATGATCATTTAAGAAAATTTCAACAACACGTACGGGGGTACTAGTACTATTGAAACGTCGATATCTAGATCTAGAACTCGAAATGCATGCCATGGTTGAGTGGCCATGGGAATTATATAGCTAAAGACAGGTGGCTAATAACTCCTTTTCCACTCTTGATCATCTCCTCCTAACAACTTGGATAGCTATAGCTCTTTCCATCCACACTTTCGCCAACTTTGATCCTTTGCGGCAAATCCTATGAATCGTAATTCCATGTGCGTCGCGACATATTCCTATGATGCAAGCCACTGTTAGTGAATACTCTATCACTAGATACAAAGCACGCCTCCAAAGCTAAGCAGACCGAAATACACCTTCTATCCACTAAATAGGAGCAGCAACGACTCCAATATACTTTTTGAACATGCGTCTGCGGTTTACCACCAGCCCTCCAACAGGTAAACCAAAAGCACCGAGCAAAGCATTAAACGTCGCAGCGCCACCAGCCTCCCGTTGCTTTTTATAGCAAGACGACTCTTCATGTCCTTTCTTCGAGCAATATGAACAAGTCACATTAGACGACGCCGTTTTCGCGGCTTCTTTATTTTCAGCATTTTTCTTGTCCGTAGCCTTGGGGCGACGACATGTTTCTGCCTTATGTCCCATCAGGCCGCAGTTAGAGCATTTATCACGCACCTGTTCTTGAGCATCGACCATATCCATGCAGCTAATATATCTTGTTAGTATTACTTTTTAGAGCGTGAACCCTTCCTTATAATTACAGGAAAGCCTATCGATGTCGCCAATAATTTCTGGAAATCCATCCGCCCTCCTCGTTTTAAGATGTCTTGAGCGCAATTAACTGAGAATCTTCTGTCGTGCAAGTACTGTTCGTGAGGCGAGCTCGAGCAATATTGTTGTAATATAATCCCTAATCGATCCTTGGGATTAGTTTTATTGTCAGAGGTATCAATGCATTGATAGTTAGTTTATAACTTACATTGCACTGAGACGAGCAACAAGATGAGTTCTGAGTTGCCTGATCTCGTTCAAAATCTGTGACCCCATTGTTGAACGCAGCAAGATTCTGAAAAACGGTCCAGCTGTGTAGCAACTATAGTAGACGATTGTGCAATGTTGTTGACACTGTCAACCATGGCGTTCAAATCAAGGGATGGCAGGGCTTGACAGATCTAGAAGCACAAGTCGAAAAACGGTGGATACCCAGGCTGGGAGAAAGCCTGAAGCCGGAGAACGAAATGAAAAGAAGAGGGGACGAGTGGACGAGGATTTCTTAGGGGCAGATTCAAAGTTGTTCTCGAGGTACCTATCTTGTATTTCCATTTTAGGACGCCATGATGGCCACTTGCCGCATGCGGAAGTTGAATTTATAAAACGGTTCTTGGCGTTGTCGCGGTGGGAAGCGGCACATGTCCAGGAGGCACAGGATATACGCGTTGAAGGGGATCAAACTGAAAAGTACATACCTTTTTGCCCACCCCAAGACTCCAACGCCTGATCAATTCGAGGCTACTTTTTGCCCACTTGTGGGCAACTGGACAGGCAGTGCAGAGAAGGGGGGGGAATATTAAACCCACCCCCTACTGCCCATGGCCATATCCCAAACGGCAACCAAAGTTGCATATATGCCTTTCGCTCCACTCATCCCCATGGCCAGTATTCTACATTGCTCCACTAGTACTCCGGATCCTCCAAATTATAAATAACTCTTGTACCGATACAAATAAACACCTCGTTGTGGTTTTTCAACGTTGGCTATGGAATGACCTAAGTAGTCTTCACCACATTCGAATATTAACCGGTACCTATGTACCTAGGTAGGTAGGAAGTACTTTATGAAATTTCAACACTGGTAAATGTTCTTGTAAATTAGATCTCTCAGTCATGACGTCATATATCCGAATCTCCATGTAGTCTTGGATCTCCATGCTAGATTCATATTCAAGTCCAATATAGCATATTTAAATTTGCCACAATATCAAGAGTTCTTGACATAAGTTTTATAAAGTTGTTAGGAGGAGACATATAATTAAGAGTGGAAAAGGAGTCATTATTGGCCGATTATCGGAGAAGATATTATCTGACGGGATGACGATTGATAAATTTGTTTATGGAAAAGGATTATTTTTGTTTATGGGGAGCGAAGCCTGTATGTAGAGAGGCTTAATTCAATGCACATGTTGACTCACTTACATCCCCATCCCCATCCCCATCGAGGCTAATCCCCATCACCCACCACCGTCGCCGTACACTCACACCCCACTCCCACTCCCACCCCACCTAATCCCTGTCCGCGTCCTTAAGCTTCTCTCCATTCTAATATTAATCCCCAATCACCGTCCGCCCTTTTTTCCAAAAAAGAAATAAATTTCCTATATAAATCCAACGCCCCAACGAAAGAAATAACCAACAAAGTAAAAACAAATCAAAAAAGAAAGCCTGATACGGGGCTCGAACCCGTGACTTTGAGGTTTCTACAGACAGAAAGAATATTCTTCTAAACGTCTTAAAAGCCACACGCTCTACCGACTGAGCTAACCAGGCTGGATTTGATGATCGGTGATGGGGTTGGGTGTACGTGAGCCCCATTGGGCACCACGCGGGAGTTTAGAAATCAAATTCTATTGGGTCGCACGTGGGCGCTTGACTCGAGTTATTGATGGTTAATTCTTGAAATTGAAATGAATATATTCTGTGAGAGAGCACCATACACATATTTAAACAAACGCAAAACACGCGGGGATAAGTTAGTTTCATTCTCATCAAAATTATATTCATTATTCATTAAGTATATTATATGCTTGCGAGCCCAGCTCGCGAGGAGCATCCAAGCCAGCTGGAGTGATCGATGCCCATATATATACGTACCAGCGTATATGTGTTTGTATCCCTAGAAGATTAGTAAAGAATATTTGCTTTGGAGGGGAATGTTTAAAGCGTTAATTTCATCAATATATCGAACCCAAGTCGATCGATCGAAGTGAATATAGAGAAAAGGTTGCCATTTGAGTAAAACAAGATTTCGAAGGAAAGGACAAAAAAAGCCAAAGAGCAACGAACAAAGAAAAAAAGCAGAAAAAAAAACGGTGCAAAACATTGAAAACAATAAAAAAAAAAAAAAGAAAGTGAAAGAAAAGGGAAACATCTAAACTAAAAGTACAGTTACATACTTATAATCCTTCCGAGGAGGATAAAAAAAAAAACTCATTGTTGTACACAATTCCTTTTTTTTTGAAGGGGGTTTTTTTTGTGTGTTTCTTTCTTTCTTTTCTTTCAATCTTTTTTTTTTAGAGTAAGAACGCAGCTATCGCTGCAACTCCAAGTGCAAACGATGCCAGCACCGTCTTCCCTACCACCTCTCTCTCCATACCAGCTGCCCCTCCTCCGAGTCCACTCAAATCTGGAATCTCCAACGTCTCCGTCCCACTGTTCCCCGTTATCACTGGCGTCCCCGTCTCAGTAATGTTATTTACTTGCGAGAGCGTCGCAGTGACCTTGATCGTCGTGCCGTTGCTTCTAGTAGTTGTGGTCGCACCGGGGACACCGGCAGAAACAGTTAACGTTCCGTTATATGATATTGGAGGGAGAAATCCCGTACGGGTCTCTGCTGGGCTACGGGAGGGGGGCTCACCATTGTCAATGACGAGGCCATCACCGTTGACCGGAGCGGGGGCACCCGGGTTTGCGGCATTCTGGGCCCTGAAGAAGGCACCGGCGATTGGTGCTCCAAAGTTATTGTTATTTGCAAAGGTGCGGACGTTGAAGTTCATGCGGGAGTTTCCGTTGAAGGCACCAGCGTCGACAGTTGCAGTGGGTTGAGCAAACAGAAGGAAGATGTAACGATGGAGTCCGGTGCCTGCTGGGGGGCCGGGCCCAATGTAGGCAGCCACAGAGTTACCGGCAGAGAGAGTAAGGACGCCATTTGACTGGGTGAATGTAATACCAGTAATCAAGGCGTGGAGAATCTCCTTGAGAGTTGGGGTCTCGCGGGAGGGCGCATCGGGATCAATCATCACCAAGGTGAAGAGCTGGCCTGGGCTGACTGGGTTTATTGGGCTGGCACCTTCAGTGAAGGGGGTCAATTTGAAGGTTGGGACACCGGCAGTGTTTGCTGGGGTGAATTCAGTGCTGCTATTGACGCTTCCAGAAAGGACAATTCCAGATGGCCAGCTGGCGGTGAGATCACCAAAGTTGCTGAATGGTGGGAAAACATCCAAGAGATCCGCGAATGGATCTGCGAATGCCTCACGCTCCTGCCCACTCACGACGCTTAAGCATAGCGAGAGCAGGACTGCTGCTCTGCCCAACGAAGCAAACATCTTGAAATCCGAAGAAAAAACTGAAGATGGGATTCGGGTATATGTGGGTCGGAAGGAGGAAGAAAAAAAAAGCAGTTGAATATTTTTATGTATCCAAGTGCTGAGGGACGACAGGGAGCTCACTGAACCACCTCTTTGATTTTCTTTCTGTCTGGCCTCTCTTTTTTTTAATCTTTCTGTTCTATCAGTCTTCTGAAAAGCTCGGAAGACAAGATCTGGATCTCTGGCGGGAAAGACAAAGTCGATGCTGTCTGATGACGCTTGGAGCAAGAAATCCAGATAGGAGCCAAAACAGACGTCTCAGACGGGCTCCTGGGTAGATATAGAAGAAACACGCAGCCACAGGGAGACAAGGAAGCGAGGAAGCGAGAAGGAAGGGGCGGAGGAGACTCGCCAGACTCCTGTCGGAACAGGCTCAAGCCAGGAAGAATGCGAATGCAGCGCGCATGGAGCCGAGAGCAGAGGACGAGCCCTATAATGCAGCATTGGGTGCGTATAGCAAACGTCTGCTGCCCGGAGAAAAGGAGGGCGAAACGGCCGTTGTTCCAGATGCCGCTCCATTCTGTTCGATGTTGCGTCTCGCAGGCTGAAGTGCCGCGTGGTGTAGATGGGCCTGTGTAGATCCGGGTTTCATCTCTGGCGGGGAAACGGGGCCGTCGGGGTGTGTGGTCTGTGCCAAGGACCCCGTATGGGGCAATGGAAGGTCAGAAGTGCTGGAGAGGGCTGTTTTGGGCAGTCTCGGGGTGAGGCATGCCAAGCTTAGGTCTGCAGCCGTTGCTCCACTCCCCAGATATCTGCGGCGGCCTGTGCTTTTTATGCAGCTCGCAACGGCACCGCCGTTTCAATCGATCGATCGCGGGATGTCAGAAGTTTAATTCGGGGGATACTCGAGAACCACAGCCGAGCCAACCGACGTGTAACCTCGCCTCGTCCTCTCGCCACTGAACGCCTAGATCCCTCGATCCCGCAGCATCATGAGAGGGCCATGTTCGAATATCCCGTTCAAACACAACAAACATCCACAATTCACTTGCTGGCCGTTTAAACAAAAGTACCCAAAGTGCGTCGATCATCCGAACTTCTAATCTCCGTCTAATTATCGAGAGTTCCGCCCACTGCAATTTATATGCAATATCAAAGTACTATACCCAATCTTCCAAATTCCACTCAGGAAGCAATGCACTCTCTTTTCTTTTCCGTCCGTCGCAGCTAATGGATCGTAGCTGTAGCGCACCATGAGATCTATAAAAATACTGTGCTATACGTGCATCTTCTTGCGATGTTCATCTCGAATGGGCCAACCAAATTTAAAGAATTCCATGTTTTCGAGAAAAATCCCCCATTTCTCTTGACATGAATTTCCACCACATCGATTTCGACCAACACGACCATCAAGGCCCAGGCAGACCTTGCAACTTAGGTATCTCACTAAAGCACAAAAACAACATCGCCTCGAAACCCAATTCTTAAAAACGCAACGTTATAACCAGGTTTATAACTCACATAAAGTATCTATAAGAAATTAAAAATATACCCCACAACCTGCAATCCCCCCTGGAAGTATCGATATCGTCTCCCCGCATTCCCCGCAAACCCCCCTCGGCTAGAGGTACAGGCAGTTACCGGCCTTGGAATAGACAGACAAAGGCTAAAATCGAAAGAATGGAAGTCGACATCTCTCTCAATTTCATTGAGAAAAGGCGTGATCGAAACCGGGACAAAGTATGAACAAGATCTGATTCAAAGTACCAAGTTTCGTAGTCTCGTGCCCAAGTTTCGCTTTCCGAGGCGCATACGAAATAACTGGCCTTCTGGGAGGTAGCTTGGTACCTAAGGTAGGCGTCAAAATTTCCTTCGGGCATATATATCCCGAGGAAGCTTAAGGGTACCTACATTATTAGGCAAACTTACTTGGTATTTCTTTTCACATTCCTCTCAATAACGTTAACCTCATGCTCATCAGGGGCCTGCAGTAGCATTTTACACAAACACCAACCCCTATAGATATGACAGAGCAAAATTTCTCCTAAGCAACTGGGTTTAAGGCTAGTCAGGACTGTATTTATTTCCATTTTCTTTTCCCATTTTTTGGTTTTTGAGTTTATAATTCATTGACGTTGATTTCATGACATGTCATGACTGCCTACCTAGGTATTACGAGACTAATACCAGGTAGGTACCTACCTAACCTACCTACCTAATCGACAATTGATCATGAGCTCAATTATACTGGCCATGGGAAAGCAGATAAAACAGTACGTTTAAATTTGAAACAAATTTAAAATGGATGTCATAAAAAAAAATAAAAATAAAAAAATAAAGATGCATCACACCTAGGTACCTAGGCCGAATGATTGATCAAAGCAGAAATAACAATTGCAATGAATCCAATATATTAGGTACCTAATGCCACATCCCGAGCCAACATGTACATATCATGAAGATCGATATCCTTCAGAAAAAAGAAATACAAGTAAGTGTACACGAAACTAATTATAATTCATTTGCAAGCTAGGTAACTCAAAAGACTTAGAAGTACAAAATACGCATCATCATGAGAGTATACAAATTAAACAAAATGACAATCACAAGAAACGTTAACAATGATAATGACTGTATAAGGTAAGTGAGTATCTGGCCAGCACGCAAAGTGGCCATGGGTACACACCAATTAGGTACCTAGTTCCCAATACACACACTGGCCATCACCGAATGCTATAGCTAGCCTACCTAGCTAGATATACAAAATTTAAATTCGGGTAAATTATCATTAAATTATTCCCCCCACCTACTCCACTCCACTCCCTCCAAGCTTATAATTAGCAATGCCGAATACGGTTCTTCCGGGCAATCCCAAAAGCCATCTCCACTCCCCTCCCCAAAGAGAAACAAAAAAAAAAAAAAAAAAAACAACACGCAAGCATTAAACATTCAAACGTCTCATAAGATCAATAAAAACATTACTACCGCAACACTCTCCCCCCCCCCCCCCTTCTACTCTTCATAACTCTCCGGATCCTCCTGCCTATCCTTCCTCAACTTCCTCTCCCTGCAAACCGTACACACGCCGCCCTTCTCAGCCAATTTCTCCTTCAGTAGTGCGGCATGCGTGACTTTTGCGCCGACACTTCGTCCGCCAGAAGAAGAGAGGGCGGAGGGTGTGTCGAGGGAGAGAACTCCGGCGCCGCCGTCGCTTTCATCTTCGGGGGCTGCGTCTGGGTTGAG